CTAGGATCTCTCAGATCTTAGAAAACAAAATCAGATTTCTTTTTTTTCTTAGCATGTATTTGCAGTATGTGATGATCATATTTATCATGGGGAATTGTCACACGTGCATAATACATCTTAATTCTTCATTTTCATCCCCTCCCCTACTTCATTGCTTCTTCCAGCACTTGATCTCCTCCTTCCCGTTTGCAGAAGCCCTATTTTTGTCATTTTTTCCATACTACTCTGCCATAAAGAAAGATAATCTTAAGATATTTTTAGGTAAATGGGTGCTACCTGAGGCCATAATGGTAAATGAAATAAGTCAGACTCAAAAGCTTAAACATTACATGGTTTATTTTATATGAGAAATTTAAAATATCTATCTCTATGTCTGTTTATGGACAGACACACACACACACACACACAGGGAGAGAGAGAGAACAAAGTGGAAGACATAAATAGGGAGCAGGGAGAACTTTTCAAATGGGTAGGGAACAAGAGGTGGCAAGAGGTTGGAGGAGGGAAAGAGGGTGGAAAAAAGAACTGAGGGGAATGAATTCAGATTTATAATCAGCTGACCTACCAGTGAACAATGGCCAGTTTCAATTGCTCCCAGTACTGCTGTTTTATAAACAGCACCACGGCCGTTGATGTTTTTCAGAATTGGTTTGTATTCACCGCCCCACTACAGTATCAGTATCAGCATATCATTTATAGAAATGTTGAAAACTACTGCAGAGCAATAAATCTCTAAGGATTTAACACCTCACATGACTAAATATTGTAAGGACTTAATTGGAGAACTAAGTTTGACAGAGAAATGAACAGATTATGAGAATTTTAAAATATGTAACTTTTGAAGAAATGAGGCTGAAAACTGAAGACTTTTTATGACATTTTAATTTGAAAATACTGAATATGAATAGCAAGTATTTGTGGCATGCTAGCCTTAAAGGAAAAAACATTAGGATAGGGATATGTTTTCTGGTCATTTATTATAATATTACTGTAAAATTGCCCAAGTTTTATAGAATATAATAAAATATTTTATATATGTACCTTGTACTTCATTTAAGAAGCAAATGTCTGTCTATCTGTATAAATACAAAGCACAACTTCTTATTTTCATGGTCATTATTGGATATCTATAAAATATTTTCACTTTTTAAATTGCTTAGTAGCCTCATTTCCTTCAGTCTACGCAGTCCTTGAATTGAGTTTCTCTCTCAGCTAGCACTAATGTTTACACAATGGATTCTTGTTGTTTAGTAATAGACACAACGCCACAAGCCCTGTTGTCAGCTGCAAATGCCCAGGCTAAAGCTTCAAAAGTACTGTGGACCTCGTTACTTATGGTAGCCATATCTAACCACATTTTTGGTTTCCTGTTTGAGGCTCAACGGATCACTTATCAAGTTTTGGTTCCAGGCAAGCAGCCTGAGTGAATTCTTCCAAGTGAATATGACGACAATAATTCAAAATCTTGGCATTCCTCACCAGGGATATGGTCTCAGTATTCCAGTCTAAGCCCTGGCTTCTGGCCAGGACACTGGCATTCATGGCCCAATTTTAGTCTCTCTTGAAAAATAAAACAGCTTTTCTGTTTGAATAGCTAGACCTCTGGTTGTGGACCAAAGGGAAGGGTAGCAGTATCATAGCAGTGATGAACCTGATGAATCTCCTTCCTTGCATCCAGAGTGGCTATCACTTTAGCCACAATGTCAGTACTAAAAATAAATACAGAACATTTAGTAGAAACCCCAGAACTGCTTGTGTACATCTGCTTTTCAGAAGTATTTCCTGTGGTGCATGAGGTTCTTTTCCTAATTAGGCTCTAGTCCCTTTTAGCAAAATGTATTCTTGTGCTTTCCACTATCATATTTTTATTGATTTTTCTATATGAAGTCAAGTATAACTAGAGGAAATTCAACATTATGTGAAATTAGGATTTTTTTTTGTTCTTTTTATTTCTATTTTGACTGAGTATTACTTTGTAACCCTTATTATTCATGCATCAAATTGGCTTTATTATGTAATTTTTATTATCTAAGGTGGCTTTACCTAGGAAAAAGGTTGATCTTTAAAAATTAGATATAAAATGTAGTTCAAGGATCACCAGCAAGCAACCTAGCCACAAGGTCAAAACCAGCCTACCACCTGCTTCTGTAGATGAAGATTTATTGGAATGCAGGCATGTTCATTCATTTACATACTGTCTATGGCTATTTTCACACTACATGGCAGAGTTGAATAGGTACAACATATATAGTGACCAAGAAAGTGGAAAATATTTTTTATTATGGCCTCTGTAGAGAAAGTTTACAGATTTTTTTCAACCTTTACAGAACACAAGCAGCTATGTATTTTACCTGTTCTTTAAGGGTATTTAAGACAGAGAGGAGTAACCAAAATTAATTCCTACTCGATTTTTGTTTGCAATGACAATAGACATTTATGCAGCATCGAGTTCTGTGAAAAAGCTTATTAAGAAAAAAATCAATTGCAATTTTATTTTAAGATGTTTTTATATGAGTGACACAATACCATAAGCCTTGTTGTGTTTAGTTTTACCTTGATTTAAATAGAGCCAATACTAACAAATTCTTATTTATAGGAAACAATTTGGGAAAGTTGTCAAAAAGTAATAATCATTCCATAAAAGTAACAGTCCAATCAGAACGTATCCAGCACAGGCTCTCTTAATGAAACCCTCCAAGATTTTCGCTGATAGATGGATTTTATTCTTTGAACCTAATATGCTTTGATGTAGTTAAACTTTGATATATTTTTATTCAGAAATTTCAGCTCACATATTTTTCCAGAAGGATTTCCATCATGTTAAATAATATGCTGTGTATAAACTTTCCCAAAGAAATTTAGAGACCTCCAAGAGTAAGAATTATTCTGTTGACTTTTTAATTCAAAGCTACATGCTGATAGGGAATAAAAAGCCATAGTGTAGCTGTACTTTTAACTTCTACTTGAAAGCCGGATACACTTTTGTTTGAAGTCATATAGCTTTGATACAAATAGATGGCATTAAAATGCTCTCTACTTTCTTGTGATTCATCTTCATATTTTAAGAAGTTATTTTCCCCTTATTTATTTGTTTCCTGTTGCTGTGCAATTTCTAGTTGAGTGTCCAGGAAACAAGCAGAATTTCTTAGGAGGAGAGGATGTGGAAAAGGATGCTGGAGGCAGCAGTACACAAGTACAAATAAATGAAGAAAGTATTGGAGGTTCCTCTGCTAACCCTTTATCCAAATGCAGCAAAAATTGCAGTTTGCTCGTTTTCTGTGTGGATCATTTTTGAGGGAAGCATCAAAGTATCAGGAGTCCTGGGCTTTGGATATAATGTATTGCAATGTAACAATACTGATGATGTGGAAAAAAGGAACTCTTCTGCATTGCTGGTGGGAATGTCAACTGCTACCACAATGGAAATCAGTACAGAGATTCCTAAAAGGCTCACGCTAGAAATTCCAGTTTGACCCATCTGTACATCTCCTGGATCTCTTCCCAAAAGAGTTAAAGTCATCATATTACAGTGATACATGCATACCCATGTTTATAGCGCACAATTCACAATAGCTAAATTATGGAAATTGTTCAGATGCCCATCAACAGATGAGTGGATAAGAAAATCTGAGATATATATATATATATATATATATATATATATATATATATATATTAGACTATTAGTCATGATGGAGGATAAATTTGAGTCATTTGTAGGAAAATACATAATCTTGAGACTGTAATGTTAACTGAATTACATGAAGTACAAAAGGTCAAATATTGCATAGTTTCTCTTATAAGAGAAACTTAAATATAATTCTAAAGAGCAAAATAAAGGAAAGGTGAGAGGAAACAGAGTAGACCATTTGCAGATGGGGAAGAGGACCTAGTGAGAGGGTGGAGGGGGCAGGCAGGGAGGGAAAAGTGATAAAAAATGCTCAAGATTCAGCTAGTTTTCTGTCACCATGACCACATCTTTATTGTATAAAAAATGTCAACGGCATTCATTGAGATTTACTTTTTGCTGTGTGTGATATGGTTTTGACCTACCCCATGTATACAGACTTCCACATAGCAAGTGCTCAATATAGTCTTACTGTTTTTGTATAAGTGACAAGGATGAACGAACAGCCATTTAGAATCCATTCTGGCTCTCTGAGAATACTTAACTTCAGAATCCATTCCTGTGATTGTAAATAAAGCAGTGAGAGGGACAAAATGAAAGTGAGGAAGAAAAAATAAACAGCAACAAATCCTTCTGACGCTAATTGGCTACGGGATTGTTTTAGTAGTGGAGGGAAGAAAAATAAAGCTTGGAGAGTTTTTGTGAGGTGATGGAAGGCTTTCCAAGAAAGAACAGCAATAAAAAGAATGTACTACATGCCACCATACATAGCAACATGGATGTATTTCAGAGACTTAAAAACCAGACACAAGCGTTCATATTGTTTTTGAGCAGACAAAACTAAACTAATCCATAGTAGCGATACATGTCAGTAATAGAAGTGAGCGAGTAGTTATTGACTGGAAGAGGCACAAAGGAGCTTTCTGATGGTGGAACTATAGTTGAGATCTTAATCCAAATAGTGGTAATACTGATGTATAAATTCACTTTATATATATAAAATATATAATATATAAATTTGTGAACTTTATAGCTCCATAAAAATTTACATCGCAATAATATTGAAATAGGTCACAGAGGGCACTCTTAATTCAACATGAGTGCTTAATGGAGTGCATGGAAGAAAAGCATGATGAACCCCCTTGTCCAGAAACTCCCTGCTGGACTTAGCATAGGAGCTATTTCTGAATAAGAACATTAATATTAATTTTTGTTGCAAAGCATTTCATACCCCAAAGGATGTTTAGCGTGCATTAAAATCACATCCATTGAGCTGCAGCAAAGTAAAGGCTGCTGAGCATGATTCTGTTGATTCTTTGAGGACTTCCTGCTTAAAAGCAATGCCTTTGTGTTTTGTTTTGTTTTTTTCCAGATTGGCAGATTGCTACTCTGGCCTTACTCTTGGGTGGTGCAGCCATCATTCTCATTGCATTCCTGGTTGGTTTGATTTCTATCTGCGTGGGATCTCGAAGGCGCTTCTACAGACCTGTTGCTGTTATGCTTTTTGCAGCAGGTAAATACATTCATTACTTTCAAACCAGTATTAAAGTTTCATGAAGCTTTCTACCATCTTCCCTTCTCATGCAGAAGCAGTATGTGTTTGGTATACTACATAAAAGTTGAGAGGCATTTCTTACATTTTAAGATAAATTGGCTGAAGTTTTATCATAATATCAGTTTTTAAAATGTGAAGCATTTCGCAGAACACTGTGGCAACTTCCAGACTGCTAACTAAAACATGACTAAATAATACTTCAGGCCTGTCACCTTAGCAATTGCAGCAGCTGTATTTACCCACAGTCTTTTTATCAGATTTTTTCCCTTTCTATTGCCCCCTTGGTGATCTTAAGGCAACATCATTTTTTCTGACATGAAACTGAAGAAAAAATTTGCAAAATGTCTACTGTTAAGGACATACATCTCTTTGAACATAAAGAAGGTTATGCTGAAAAATCATGACATGTAAATTGAACCACAAGACAAGTTAATTGTCTGAGGTCAGTTGTACATTTGTTAATTTAACAACCATCATTCTGTAAAGCATAGCTTGAACTGAAGTATTAACCAGGGTAAACTAATACACAGAGAGCTATGTAGAAAAGAAGCTGGTGGACTAAAGGCCCAGTACATTATCTGACATGAGTTTTAATTTTAATTTGTAAGAGTGTCCTTGAATATATTATTCTTTTTGATTTAAGTTGAAATATTCTTGTGATGCCTTCAATTTACCCTGTCAGTCATATCTGATTTGAAGACTGCAAAATAAGCCCCTCTGACTGTCAGTAATGAAGACACTGACGGAACCACCTAGGCTGTTAGATGGATTTTTAAAAGCTTTTCACAGGTTAGAATAGATGAAATTTCCTAGGATTTAAGGGATCGGTTGAGCTAAAAGTATGAAATCTAAAGTGTTCTGCTGCCCCCTGCTGTTTATATTCATCTTAGACTCATGAAGACTGGTCAGAACATAAGTATCATAAAAATGAAGGTCCAAAGTGCTGAAGGGATCTGGAAGTACATCTAATTCAGATTTAAATGACTTCTTCCAGATCATATAGTGGTTACTGGTGGATCTGAGGCTGGGAGCTGACTAAATCTTAAACTAAATCTTAAACTAGTGGTTTATTCACTATTCATTCCCTGCCACGTTCTTTCAACTATTACTTGAATGTATATTGTGGACTAAATTTTGTCTTAAAATGCCTATAAAACTGACCAAATTATTACCACAGATACTTTCTAATAGACTACAATGAATGATTACAGAAAATACTTTGAAGTCTTATGAAGTGTCCATAATATCATTTTATTGCTCTCATGTGTAATAAAAGGCTCTATTCTGAATGACTTAGTACAACCTGAAGTGTCCCCTAAAGATTCACTGTAGTTCTCTAGTTTATTTCTTGTTGAGTGATTTAGTACAGCTCATTTTCCATTTCAGAATGAGATAATTTAAATATTTCAATTGTAGTGTAAGTTTGTCTCTGCAACTATGATTTAGTAATGTAATGATTAGATAATCTGTGGTAATAATATTTCCTGATAAATAGTTCCCGATGATATATGAGTCTTTAAAATTGGAATTCTGCTTCAAGTAATTTTTAGAATATATAGACATTTTTCACTTCAGAGTGTACTAGAGTGATTTAGTCATTTGTTATAAATATCCAATTTTATTGTACATACCCAGCTACTATTCCATTCGATTTTACCATACTGAATAATGGTAAATGTAGAATCTGTAAGTTCATTGTTGAGACCATCTATTATAAACATGTTTAGAAACTGTAAGTTTCTATTTTTCTCTTTAAAAACACCATATATTTAGGTACTAGTTGTAATAGAAAATTTATTGTAAGGGGCTGGGGATTTAGCTCAGCAGCAAAGCGCCTGCCTGGCAAGCGCAAGGTCGTGAGTTCGGTTCCCGGTACCGGAGAAAAACCAAAAAAACCAAAAAAAAAATTTATTGTAAATAAACATAAATTAAAATAAAGATTTTGATTTAGCTTTGGCTACCACATGTATTAGTAAATTTTAAAATAATGAAGGAAATCTGTGCAACAAAATTCATATTGTACTGTTGTACCAACTGAGACCTAAAATAAACATTATACTGCTGCATTTTTAAATATACGTAGGCTGAGATTTAGTTTTATTCTCATTTGATACTGTGATCATAAAAGCTTATTTAGTTTAGTGTTTGTTTTACGTATAAGCAAGGTAGAAGTGCCACTAGTTATTTGTAATATATCATGAAAACATTTCTCTCTCCCATTTGTAAAAGTCATTAAAGAGTTGCCTATACCTCATTTTTGGAAATGGTATTAATTACACACAATGATTTCTTATTGATTTGGGTTCACTATTGGAAAAGTTGGAAAATCTGACTATTGAAAGGATGCTAGCTAGTTATTCTTGTCTGTTTTGCTTGCTTCATAGTAACTATTCAAATGGTTTGCCTCACTTTTAATTCAGTTGAGTGATCATTTATAAATGCATATCTTTGGCTACTTCTTACCTTCTTACTTATATCTTGTTTTACTTGACAATGGTTTTTATTTCTCTTTTTTTCTGAAGTTTTTTTTGTGAAATAACATTAACCTTGTGACAATGAATAATATGTTGGTGTTTACATACATAGAGAATATTTATCTCAACAGGAAATGTTTTCTTGTTTCCAAGTGTAAAAAACTTTCTGAAAATAAGTACTAGTTATAGGAGAAAATATATTGTAAATAAACATAAATTAAAAGTAATGCAGTACATAAATTCAAACCAGGCACCACTACCCCTTGAAAACATCTCTATCCAGATCTCTATACTTACTTAATTCAGTACCATGTGCCATACTTGGTACTTATGGGCACTCAGTAAGTAGTTTTTGAATGAAAGATGACTAAAGCACATGGCTTACAATTTGGTAGGAATAACAACTATGTAACCAACTTTAATTCCTGTTTTAAGAATCCATTTCTGTTATTGAGGCTCATAAATCGGCATGTTTTCCATGATCACATAGCCAAAACAGTTCAAAAATAATAGTTATCAAATTGATTTTTTAAATTTTTAAATATTTTATTCATTTATTTAACAAGTGTCTGGCACCTCCCCTATGCAAGTATATAATATCTTGACATTAGATAAGAACTTCTAAGGTTTTTTAGTGAAAACTGAAGACTAAATCCGTGAAGACAACTGGAGAGAATTTGAAGATTTTGTCTTCTCTTTTGTTTGAGGTCTTTGATCTGGGATGGGCTTGTTACGTGCCTTAACAGTACTAGCAGCGCTAAGAGCTTAGCCGTCATTACCAACTGTATAAACCACTGTCCCATTTTTTACAACCCTCTTACTTGCCAGTCCTGGAAATTAAGATTTCAGAATCAGATTTCATCTATAATGACAATGCCGATAATAATTTAACACCTAGCATATGCCACAGTGTTAGACATTTAACATAAACTATTTTTAGTACAACAGTCTCACAATTACTGTATCAATGAAGAAACAGGCTCAGATAGGTTAAATAATTTCCCAGAATTATCCAACTAGTAAGTTGGTGAGCCACGATTTAAATTCGGACCATCTTGCTGACTTGACAGTCTAAGTGAACACTCATGATTCATCTTTCCTTGGGTGCATATCACATGTGGAAAAACCAGAGAAGTGTCAGCCTGCATTCTGAATTCACCTGCCAACTGTGTACTACAGTTAGAATACATCCTGTAACCTGGTGCTCCATCTCCCAGGAGCAACACCTGAAGGAAATCAGAACCTTGATGTCATAAAAGCCGCAAACTGATCAGTGGAGCATGACTACACCGTAGCATATAATGAAAGCTGTATATGTTTCCAGTGCAGTTCACTACAGCACATTTCTTTTTGTGTCACTGACAGTGACAGATAAGATGTGATGTGATTCTGATAAATAGCACTCAGTTTTCTTCACTAAGGACTTGGTGAAATTAGACAGATTTTCTCTTTCTTGGTTTTCTTCTTTTACTGCCTAATTTTGAACTGGCTGCAGATTTTTTTTTTCTACTCTGCAGGTATTTTGGATGAGTTTTTCATTTCTTTCCCCAAGGCCTTTATAAATTACAGAAGACTATCAGTTTTCTAATTTAAATTTTATTAGCATAATCTTCATTTATTATACAGCATTTTAAAATATGGTTCCATTTTGTTATATCTGTGAAAAGCCTCCTGTAGGTAATTATTTATGTGGAATAGTGATTTTCTTTTCAAGCTCCTCCAATGTATATCCATCTCTCGATTGTGTTTTATGAGCGGCTTGTATTTCGCACACAGTGTTACCATTCTGTGAGTTGCAGTGAGATGACCAGAGCCATTTTGAGTCTAGAGTTTGGCAGAAAAACTGATGACCAGCTTAGATTTCAAACTTTAAGGGAAAAATTCTACCCACAGATTCTTTTTCTTTTTTTTTTTTTTTTTTCTAAAAGTTTGAGGTGCATCATTAGGCTATTTATTTGTTCTCTTTCTGTTTTCTTTATGTGCGAGTTCACTGCTATAAATGTCCCTCTGAGGACTGTTTTCATTCCATTCCACAGATTCTGGTAAGTTGTA